AATTGTATTATAATTGTTAGATTTATTTTATTATAATTATTTGTGATGGTATAATTAATTTTTATTTATTTATTTTTAATGGACACGATGGTTTTAAGGCATGATTTTAAACCGAACCTTAAAGTCATGGAAGTTACTCACAGAATTCAAGAAGCAGAAGGAGAGGAATTAATATCTAACCATAATGCCCCCAAATTGTTTCAAGTGTTTTAAAGGTGGTGATCTGTCTCTTAAACGAAAACCCTGGAGTAGACCAACTGCTATCAATTATCGAGTATGTTGCTTCAGAACGAGGGTCACCGATAAATATGTCAAATATTATATCTTCCAAAATGTGAGTTTAAAAAACGAACGTTCTTTTGATATAGCCCGATAATAATAATAATAATAATAATAATAATAATAATGATAATAATAATAATAATAATAATAATAATATGAAATTCTATAAAAATTGTTTACTACTAAGACAAACGCTTTATTATTGTGATGTACAATAACGCGACGTGAGGTCGAAATAGTAACAGGGAGAGGGTTGATCTAGTATTCATCTTCCTAAACTTAGCTAATTTCTTTCGTGACTCAAATTCCCTTCATAATTTCCTTGCATCAAAATAATTTCTAATGTTAGAGTCAGAGTGACAAAGATCACTCAAACATTAGCAATACGCAAAGTTAAAAATATAGAATGAACTTTTGTTCTTTGGATACGTGAAATGTTCGAAGTCGAAAGGTGGTGAGGGTACTTTCAAAAATATATTCAGCCATAATTTTCTCAAAGAGCAACAAAGACATTCTCCATTCTCCATTTCTCTATTCTTAAATACTCTGTACGCAAAATCAACAAAGACACTGGATTACATCTAAGATCCCGTTACGTTAATGAAAACGATGTTTGAAATATTTGCGTTTAAGTAATATTGATATATACCCGAATACAGGATCCTCTGTCGTAAACCTTCCTATCTTAATGTCACTATCCTGGGTATGACGATAAACTACATCTGACAGCACGAGGTTTTGAGGAGTGTGGAACCACCTCTTAATTGCTGGTGTTCCCAGGTACACCCTGACCCGGCATGGTAGCATCTGTTAGGGTCCCAACTGTGGGCAAATAGTTAACCCCAGAATTGAGGTCAAAACACCATGATAATGTAAAAATAGGTTTTAGTACCAGCAATACATTTTTGTAAAAAAAATTATTACCAATAATGAAGGAAAAAAATATTACCAGCAAGACATTATTATCAGCAATAAATTTTGGAAAAAAAAAACACAATATTACCAGCAATAAATTTTGGAAAAAAAAAATATTACCAGCAATAAAAAAAAATTCGTCAGCATTAAATAACCCATTGAGGTTTATATGCCGTAAAACAAAACAAAGCAAACCAAGCCTTAATGTTACCACACGCCCCTACTCCTCTAACCCGTAAATTTTGGAGGGGCACCACATATACTACTATAGAAGCAGGGGTGTGTATAAATCCCAACATATCAAACGATTTACAGAAGGCAGATAGCTTAACGTGTAGTCCTGTGGAGGCAGACGGTGTTTAGTGTTCATACCTTGTTGAATATTAGGGTAACTGCTGAGCTTTCTTTGGAGGGTAATAACCGATAAACCAAATAAATACATTGAATTAAGATTATTTTAATCATTTTTAATTATATCTTATACTATATAATTGACATGAAATAGATTTACAGAAAGCAGATTGATTAAAGCGTTGTCCGCGTGAAGTCGGTCGTTGTCGGTCGGTGATTAGTGTTCACAGGTAATGGAATATTAGGTTAACGGTTGGGCTTTCATTGGCGTTATATCAGATAAACCAAATAAATACAGTGAATTTAGATTATTTTAATAATTTGTAATTATATCTTATGCTACTTGATTGACATGAAAACGATATACAGAAGGCCGATGGTTTAACTCGTAGTCCAGTGGAGGCAGGCAGTTTAGCGTTCACAGATAGCAGAATATTAGGACAACCGCTGGGCTTTGTTTGGGGTCATAATAGATAAACCAAATAAATACACCGAAGTTAAACTATTTTACTCACATTTAATTATATATAATACTATATGATTTAAATGAAATAAATTTGCAGAAGACAGGCAGATTCATACATAGACGCGTGAGGACAGGCATTGTCAGGCAGTGTTTAATGATCAAAGACAAAAGAATATTACTGCAACTGGTTTGTTTTGTTTGAGGTCATAGCAGATAAATCAAATAGATACACTCAATTTAGATGGTTTTAATCCTTTCTAATTATATATTATACTACATGATAGACATGAAATAGGTTTAGAGAAGGCAGACATTTTATGGCGTAGTCGCGTGCAGTCGGGCGTTGTCGGGCAGTGTTTAGTGATCACAAATAGTAGAATATTAGGACAACTGCTAGGCTTTCTTTGCTGTTATACTAGGTAAAACAAATAACTACACTGAAGTTAGATTGTTTTAATCATTTCTAATTATACATTATACTACAAGATAGACATGAAATAGGTTTAGAGAAGGCAGACATTTTAAGGTGTAGTCTCGTGCAGTTGGGCGTTGTCGGGTGGTGTTAAGTATTCGCAGGTAGTGAAATTTTAGGGTATCTGCTAGTCTTTCTTTGCGGGGGTCATAGACGTTAAACCAAATAGCACAATGAATTAAGATTATTTTAATCATTTTTAATTATATCCCATACTATAGGATTGACATGAAATACATTTCCAGGAGGCAGATTAAGACGAAATCGCGTAGAGTCAGGCCTACTCGGTGGGTGTTTAGTGACCCTAAATAGAAGAATATTAGGGCAACTGCTGTGCTTCCTTTGCGGTCATAGAAGATAAACCAGATAAATACACCGAATTTAGATTATTTTAATACCTTTTAATTATATCATCTACTATATGACTGCCATAAAATAGATTTACAGAATGCAGATTAAGGCCGATTAGCTTGGAAACGATGAAAGCAATCTAAATTCAGTGTATTTATTGGGATGTGCGTTGTGGTGTAAGGGATATCAGCTCGGAGAGCCGAGTTCGAATTCCAGTCGAGTTCTTTAGATTCACTTGCGCACAAATACCCTTGCGAATGGTATGAATCCATTTCTGCTCCCCCAGCCATGGTTTGTATAGTAGGGCAGACTAGGTTCTTTAGCCTTGGTTGGCAACGAACGAAATGGCAACCTACTGCGGGAAAAAATCTGCCTCGTCAGTCATGTATCGAAAGATACATGATCGCCCAAGCGTGTATCACGTATGACACTTAACTGGCCGAACTTGGAGTGGATCGGTGTTTAGTGTTCACAGTAGAAAATTAGGGCAACTGCTGGGCTTTCTTTAGGGTCATAGAAGATAAACTAAAGAAATACACTAACTCTGATTATTTTATTTTTAAAAATTATATCTCATACTATATGATTGACGTGCAATATAATTACATAAGGCAGTTTATTTAAGGCGTAGTCGCGTGAATTCGGGCGTTGTCGGTCGGTGTTTAGTGTTCACAAATAGTAGAATATTAGGACAACTGCTGGGCTTTCTTTGGGGTCCTAGCCTATAAGCCAAATAGTACACTGAATTAAGATTATTTTAATCCTTTTTAAGACATATCTTATTCGATCTCCAGGCTTGTTTTGAATTCAGGGTTTTCCTTCTCCATCACGAGTTGCCACCCCCGGGTAAGAAAGCTCAGCTTTTAATTGATTAGTAACTGAGTCTCACCATTTTACTGTTGAGCCAGTTAGATGAAACTATTATTTTTCCTCTAACGGATTCGTTTTTCGTCTATAGAACTCCTTTCTGATTACTTGTTTTACTGTAAACTTCAATCTTCAAAAATGTAAATAGCGAAGTAAGTTGCTATCTAAATCCTTTTCCTTTATTATCTTTTTCCTTAATCCTCCTCGATAATGTCTTCTCATGCTTTTTCCCACCCTTAATCTCCTGCGTCTTCGTGGCATTGTCGCCTTTCTTGTGGTGAAACGATTAAATAATAATGGTCGTATTAGCCGTTTCCTTATAAGGAAACATTAGGCATTCATTGACTAAGAATTTAGTGTTAGTTTCAGTTGAAATTTATAAACTATTTCTATATATATATAAAAAAAAAACTTTCTAGTCAATCTGTTGACCTTTGGGCATTCCTTCTTTTTTGCGTCTTGTTCTCTGATTGTTGGCAAAATGCCAATGCACCACAATCGTTACAAAATTAAAAGTTCCCCGAATCTGGATTGATGGTTAGTGGTCTCGAGTCTCTTTTTTACAGATCACCTTCCATCGTATTTGGAGTTTACCTACGGAACGCTTTCCCAGAGACAGCTCTCTGCACTAAAAGAAAATAGGTTAGTAAAATAAAATAAAATAAAATAAAAGTGTAAGATAAATGAAAATACTAGTCAAAAATTAAAAATAATCTCAGACAATGGCTTATCTAAATGAAGGCGAATGTAAATACGAGCCACAAATTTATAATGGCGGATAAAGCTTCTTCTAAAAAATGACACCCATACATTGTCATATAATTGATGGTCTTTTTTCTCATATTACTATCGTCTCTTGGAGTTCCTGCAGCTACCATTCGGTGTCTGCTATCAACATACTCGTATAATATAGATTTAATAACTGAATTGTCATATTTGGCAAATCAACTTGGGGTCAATTTGCCATTTTTTTATTTTATGATAATACTGTTTAAGAAGCTCAAAAGGAACAAGAATTATGCAAGAATTGGGAAAACGGCGAACAATGTTCAAGTTCCAGTTGGGATTGCTCTTCACTTTGTAGAAATGCTCATGCGAAAGGCATGGATCAAATTCTCTCTGGACTCAGTTTCATCTTCGGATATTTTAACCTGGATGTGTGGTCACTTGCATTTCGCGACAGTAAACGGAGAAAAGTGAGTAAGCTCAGGGGTAAACAACTTTCCCAGACACACCAAACAGAATATCTCGAGCATAAAAATTCGGTTAAAACATATTTCAACCCGCCTCCCTCAC